CGTTGAAAAATTAACATCAGATAAAATTAAAACCAGTTCCGTACAATCATTTCATGTAACTTATATTAATGTAAATGTATTTTGATTTTTCGAGGAGCGAATCTGAAAAACGGCTGATAAAAGTCACTGGTCAGTAATTGTGCTGCCGTCTATTGTGCTGAAGAAAAGAATTCAAAAAGCAAGAAATCACTGGCACTGAGTTTGGATTATTTTTATTTTACAATTTTACAGAAAAATATATATTTATTGAGTCCTTCTCCTAACGAAAAAAAAAAAACGCAACGACCCATAAGGTGATAATATTACTTAATTGGTACTTTGAACAAGAGCTTGGTGGAGTTTCTCAACGGCAACTGATAATGTTTCCTCTAAATAAAACGTAGTAAGAACTAAAAATACTACGTGTTTCTTGGTTCAGCAAATTAAATAAAACAAATGGAATTTCATTAAAAGCATACCGTGTAATTTTTACAACCAAAATAACAATATTAGTGATAGATCAAAGCTGCTTGTATTTATTTCACATGTATAAACAAAATATAGTGGGAAATAAGTTCAAGATATCTGAATGAATAATTTAAATTTTATCATTATCTTAAATCATTTAAAACGGTTCAAATGGGAATTCAAATAATGGAAAATCTGAAATATGCCGCCTTTTAGATATACCTTCATCTTCGCTAGATAATGTGATCCAGTAACGTTGCACGTTCAAATCAGAAGTAGAATACTAACAACACACGGAAAATACCTTTAAAATTGAATATTTAATAAAAAAAGGAAAAAATTCCATTTACCTCTCTAATCATTAGTCTGAAATCGCGAACATCCCAAAAGCTTTTTATTCTGTACCTAGTTCTGTACTCGGTTCTGTACGTATTTGTAATTGTAGTTAGGTTATATTTATCGGTGAATGTATTTGCAGTGTCGTTCAATTTGTGTATATCTAATTTTAATCGTGGTATTTCTTTTCGTAAATTTTTTTCTATTATATGAATATGTTCATCTGTGAAGATTATATCAATGGAATCGCTAGTTTGGAATTGCAAAACTTCAAGATTTGGGAGACTGCTCTCAAGACGAAATATATATGACTCAATAACATCACGGGTAGGACAACGGCGTTTGTAATAATTATAGTCTAAAAATGCGAATTTCTTGATAGTTCTTATTTGAGAAATGTACTCGATGGCGGTGTCATCGACTACTGTATTGAACAATTTCAAATATTCTATCGGCATATTTTTTGTTTTTAATTCTTGCATTAACGGCTTTATTTTTATTAGTTCTTCATTTGAATGTTTACCAAAATGGATTTTTTTCCCATTGACTACTGATAAGAATTTGAGACATTTGAACTGACTTAAAATGGAAATATTCGTCGGTAGATAATATTTTTCATCGTCATTACATTTCCCAAGATTATCACTAAAATACAGAAAACTCCTCAATTGTGTATTGTGATATAAAAAATTTATGAGAGCAGGAATATCTTCATGATACACGAACCACATATCATCCCATTCAAATGCTACCAATTTTGGACAGTTGATTGCAGGAATAAAGACTGAAGGTCGAAAAAAACCACTATGATACTTACGAATTTTTTGAGTTCTTTTGATGCTTAGTTTTTCTATTCGCGTAAATAATGGAATTATTTCATTCACGAATTGTTCGTCCATTGGAAAATTGATGCTACGAAAATAGCGAAGATTAACGCAATGCTCACTGATCATTATAAGAATCATATAAATTTTTATTACAGTTGACCGTTTCACTTTATCGAAATTGACTTCAGCTTGATAAATCGAAGAACCAAAATATCGTAAATAATCATCTGCTTGGAATAATGTAAATAATTGTATATCCGTAATATGAAACATTTTGTTTTTATACTTTCTTCCTATCATTTCCTTTAAAATTCGATCGAACCGAACACAGACATTTCCGATTAAGACATAATTCGAAGGATGCATTCTTTTGAAAACTTCATATAAACAATCATCATTCAAAGCGTTGAGAATATTCTTCGGCGATTCTTTATCTGGTGGCTGCAATAATATATCTTCAATCTTAGCCGTTTGATCAGCTCCAGTTGAACAGAATTTTTCATGTAGAACAAAATTGGATTCTTCACATGGTTTAACAATAATATTATGATGTCTAATTGTGATTTGCCGTTTTAATAAAGCGGCATGAGCTTCTTGAGACGTTATAAATTCAACAATAACATAACGATAATACAATGGATAATTTTTCACTCGAAGAATTGTTATATTTTTTATTTCACCAAAATGTTTGAAAGCTGAATGAATTCTGGGTAAAGACAGCTAAATAGAGAAACAAATGTAGAAATAAAAAATCGATAGAAAAAAGCAAAAAACAAATATTTATCTTCAACTTACAATATACTCTCTAGTCCAATAGAATTGAACTGCATTATTTGTAAGATGGATTTTCTGTTTGTCACCAAAATAAACTTTGTAAATCGCCTTTAAAAGATTCATCTTAAATATAAATATGTGCGTAAGTTTATTTAAAACACCTTTAACTCAGAACAAGTAATTCGAATATATTTAACGGAACTGCGTAGTGTTGAAAAATCAATAAAATATTGTAAACTCAATTCTGTCAAATGACATAAGCACTAGAGTGGCTTAAAAAAGCTTTTGAAGCTCTACATGCATTAAAATTTCTTCAAATTTGGCAGATTATGCATTTTGGTAAGAAAATAAGTTTCACCAGTTTTCACGATGATTAAGTTACAACACACATTGATATATTGCATTTTGTTGACTTTAAATTTATTGGATTTCTTCCTAAAATGTATATTTGCAATAACTTAATCACCCTGATTTTTTGGGCCACTCTAATTTTTGGGCAAATGTAAATATGCACATAACCTACCTCAACCGACGCTCAAATCTGTCAAGTGACAAGCATGAACATAAGAAAATACAAATATATGTACATAACCTCAAAATTGTTTGAAACCGTTAAGGAAAAAAATGTCAGGACCAAGTTCAACATTAGGCGATGTATCGCCAATTCCAACCGATACCAATCAAAGTTGGCGCAACACGTTCAACGCAGTCAAACATTATTCAAAATTCGGTCTTTTTTGCAGCGGCAATACTTAATCTTGGCTGTTTTATCTGCATCGTAGCTGTCGCAACTGATGTTTTCGGGTATGAAAAGGCACAGCTGGTGTCAAATATCGGCGTTTTAATCACTTCGTTTGG